TTCAATTTTATACCCCCTTTCTCTTGATAAAACAATTAAAGTCAATCCTGGCTATGTTTCTCTATTAATAGTTCCATTTTTCCTTGATTTTCTAATTGGAAGTTACTGGCTTACAATAACACGATTTTATACACAGATATTCATAATGGATACTTTTGCTATTCAAGACCTTCCAATACCGTTTTACTGGATGTTTAGTGCATTTGTTTCCAATTTCCCACGTATTAACTCGACATTTTTCCTTCCTATTATTATGTTCATGAGTTCAATTTTATTTATCATTTTTTCGTTTGGAAAAATCAGTTTTGAGTATGTTTTGCTTCCAGTAATAGCACATTACACCCTCTGTATGGTATCATGTGGGTTTACCATCAATTTGAAGTGTCTTGTTAATCCAAAGAAGATCAACTTTGCAGTGGATAATCATTACTTTTCCTTTGGCGATATTTTAAAGTCGATTTTCTTGTGCCCAGTGATGATCACACTACTATCGCTTCTATTTGTCAAATTGATAGATTCAAATTTATTTAATTATAGTTCTGGAAAAATTATCATATGTGTGTTATTCGCCGGTTTTCTGTTATACCATATTATTAGCGCGATATTACTCTCTTGTATGTACGCTTATTATGTAATGGAAAAAGAAGACCGTCACAGAGTGGACAACTGGTTTAACATCAATTTTGAAGATAAAAACATCTCAAGTTGTTGGACGTCGATATATATAGCACTTGTTTGGATCGTCCCCATCGCACTATTTTGGAATACAGCAGTTCTGTGCTACAAAATAAAATTTGATGAAAACAATGAAAAAATGAATTACATGAAAGCGTTCGTGTCTTCTATAATTGGCATTTGCTTTATTTATCTGACCGGGTTTATCAATTGTTGGGCTTATAAAAAGGAAAATTTGTGTCCACTGTTGTGCCCAGATTGGTGCGGATGCTTGAAACGCGTGTGTTGTTGTTACTCGTATTATGATAACCCACTTAGCGTTGAAAATCCATATTATTACAGAGAGGACTTCATTCAACATTGCACTTCAGGTGGACATTTTACACAATTGCGAAATCCAAGTTAATAAATCATGGCCATTTTTATTGTTTATAGACAACATTTGTGTATATTTGTAAGATAAAATGATATAATACAATTATAATCAGTCTTAAAATATTATTTACAAATAGCGGAAATAACAGGGACCACAGGAAAAACCAGGGACCAGACTAATTTTAGCTATTGAATATCAAGCAGATTATATACAATAAAACGGGCAAAAATATAAATAAATGTGTAATTTTCTTATTATTTTCGCTTAAAAACGGTTATTTTTCGGGATGAAAAAATGAATGTGTTGTATAAAGTATGAATGAACAACAACTTAATGTGAGCTATAATAGTAAATTTATTATTATTTATTATTGTTTAATTATAAAATATTATTATTTTGTACAACCTTGTTTAACTTTAACACAACCATTCAATTAAATCGTTCATTCATTTTTTCAAAGAAGTTTTCGTAGTCTTCTCTATTCACTCGGTTAATTCAAAAAGCCACTTTTTGTTTAGCATTATAAGTGACTCATGCGGTTCATGAAAATAAAAAATAAGGAATAAATAAATTATTGGAATGTTAGACATTCAGTAAATGATTGATGGTTATTAAACGTATTAAACAACGGAAGATAAATCAATACAAAGAACAAACTTTACTTTGGCTCGGCTGGGCATTAACAAATGAGACAACTCCAAATGATTAATTAAGAGTTTCATATTTTATAGTTTTTTAATTTTATTTAGAAAACAGTGTGTCTATTAAGACTTGGTCCCTGGTTTTTGAAAATAAACAAACATATCCTCCAAAAACCCGATTAATTGTTTATTTTTTCTTACAAGGAAACTTTATACCAAAAATAAAACGGCTTAATTTAGTCTGGTCCCTGGTTTATGATTTGGTCCCTGGTTTTTCATGTATTTGTACACTCAATAAAAACAATCAGTCAGTACTGGTGTTTATTTTTTTATTTTGTTTTTATATAATAAATTATATTTTTTTCAATTTCAATTTTTTTGTTATTTTCCATACAATTCAAAACAAAATTTATTTATTTATTTATTTATTTCAAATTTCACATTTAACAATGTATACATTTTTTGTTGTTAACAACAATTTATATATTTTTCTTTGTGTAAAGTCGAATATAAAAATAAAAGAATTTAACAACAAACAAACAAATAATTATTTATTATTTACAGAGCAGCAATTTGATTTTTTTTTCAAAAAACAAATTTATTGCTTTTTGATATATACAGTAAAACTTCCCAAGAACGGTACCTCTGAAGAGCGGGTTCTCTCAAGAGTGGGCATTTTTAACCAATCAAACATTGAAAACATCTCGATAGAGAACTGACAATTTATTGTTTTTTGTTCTAAAAAATCAGGATTATTTTTTTCTGATTTTTAGTAATTACATTTTGAATAACCAGAAAAACAAAAAAAAATAATTACAAAATATCAAAAATGCAAATTTATTTGAAAGAAAAAGAAATGGTTGTCATTATAAGTTTTTGCCAAGTAAAATAATCGAAATTGATAAAATTAATCAAAACTAAAAAATAAAATAAATATCTGAGACACGAGCCATTTCAGTAGTTGCCACTTGTTTATTATGATACCATGACTACCCGAGACATGAGCCACCTCAGGTAGTAGTTTTTTTCAAAGTTTGTTTTAACATAAATTACGAGATTATAAATTAATTATAATCTATTTCCATTGTAACATTTTTTCTTTCACAGAGTTCCTTGTTGTTTTATTTTTTTTAGTTCATCGTTTTACTCACCAGTAGTTTTTTTCAACTCTTCGATTCTCAACGAAATATCTCCTTGTTCTTTGATTTCCTCAACATCAGTGGGGTCTTCGTTCTCTTCGATCAAATCTTCAATAAAATAGCCCGTTACATCCCCAAAATCCTTCCAACTTCTTCTCTATACAAAGCATGCTTCCAGCAGCCAATTATTGTTTCGGATGAAACATCATTGTTCCAACAGTCGATAGCATATAATATTGCATCGCCCACATTCATTTTGAGCCCTGAGTACATTTTCCCTGAGAATGAGCTTCGATAATCTCTTCTTAAAATTTGCTATTTTTCGATACATGGCCTTGAATGAGTGTATTATTTCTGCATCACATGGCTGGAATACTGATGTCGTGTTTTTTGGTAAAAATTCCAGCCTTATGTGTGCAAGATTTAGTTCATACACATGCAATCTTTTTTGTTTAGTCCTTTGTAATTGTAGCCGGGTTTTTCTTCTTCAATAGTCGTAGTTATGATTAGCTTGTGGCTTGGAGCATTATCTACTATAAGAAGAATATTTCTGTTTTCTCTTGTGAGTGCTTCTTCCCATTTGAGTAGCCATCGATGAAACAGCTCTATGTTCATCCAAGCATTAGTTTGAAAGTCGTATAATTGTTTAACGTTGATGTACTTTTCATCAGAGAACCACCTTGGATTACGATACTTCCAAACAACCAAAAGATTTTTTCTCCACACAGTGAACAGCATATTATAATTGTAATTCTTTCTTTTTCCTCCTTCCTTCCATGGTTATTAGAACCACTTGACAATGTTTTGGAAAGTAACAGCTTATAGAAAAGACCTGTTTCATCCAGATTGTACACATTATTAGGAGCATACCGTGCAATAATTTCAACCATCTTATCAATTGCCTCATTGTGTTTATCTGGGTCAACTGAATTGCTTTCTCCTCATAATTTCTTTGATTTAAGTTGATTTCTTGAACAAAATGAAGAAATCCAACCGTTTGAAAGCATCATATCATCATATCCCTTTTCGAAGCAGTATTTATAAGCTAAGCTCTTGACAACATTGTAGCAAACTGGAGTATTGTATGACCTCACTATTTCGATCATCTTGAGCTTGTTCTCTTCCAAGTCTGGGTGTTTAACTTTTCTAAAAAAAATTGGCATTCCCTGGTATTGTTGGCTCAATCAAACTTTTATTGATACCATACTTTATTAACATCCTCAGAAACTCGCGTTTTGGACATTTTTTGTGAATTTTTGGTTTATTATTTCTCTCAGTTTTTTCAATGACGGTTTCGGGGAAGCATTAGCCCATTGTAAAATTTGCTTTTTTTCATCAATTGATAAAAATGTTTTTGGTTTTGGTAAGGACATGAATAAGTTATAAGATTATATGATTTTTTTAAAAAAATGACATTTGTGAGCCAAATTAAACATTGTTTCAAATCATCTTAAGGTTAACACGTGGTAATTTTTTTCTTTTTAATTTTTTTATTTTTCTTGTTTTTAATTTTACATTTAAAAAGTGTTTTTTTTCTTAAAAAATTGAGTTAAAAATAAAACGCCCGCTCTTGGGAGGTTTTACTGTAATAAGTTCAAAAATCAAAAAGAAAAAATAACTGAAATAATTATTTTTCATGGTTAAAACAAAATCTTGATAATTATTAAGTATTATTTTACCAAAAGCCAAAAACAACTTATTGACTCACCCATTTTGATAATAGATGATGTCAGTTTAACAATGTTACTTGTATGGAAATGTTGTTAGTATATCTTGGACGAACCCGAGTGGTTATTTTTCAGAACTTATTCTAAATTATTTTTCCACCTTTTAAATGAAAACAGTGTTTATATTATTTTACAATTATTAATTATTTAAACTCCAATTTTATTATTTTTTTAATAAATTATATAAAAAACTTTCTAACTACAATAAGTTTTTTGAACTATGAAACAACTCCATATATTGTTATATTTTAATATAATATCTTTCAATCAAATAGTGATGCAATAATTAGATACAATTTTTATCCACCCTTATATTAATAAAATAAAAAATAATAAAATACTATTAATTATTGAATATTATTTGTAACGAAAATTTCTAATTAGTTTTAATTTATTTATTAATAATTAACTTTTTGTTTAATAAAAAATAAAACCAAATTGTTTACGCATATCGTTCATAAATCATTCCATCTAAAACTCCATAATGGTCAACCACTTCGAAGTCTTTATATACTCTCATTTTAGTCAGTCTACTACATTTATAAAACGCGTTTTCTCTGAACAATTCGACACTTTTTGGTATTGTGATTTCTTTTAAATATTCACAACGAGCAAACGCCATTTCTCGAATTGTTTTCAGACTGTCTGGCAATGTAATTTTTGTTATTGATTTATTAATACACGCGAATGGTTCAATACCCACAACACCATATGAAAGATTTAACTCAGCAAGTGAAATATTTACAAATGCCGATTCTCCAATGACGTACTTCCCTTTTGGAAGAACAACTTTACAATTTTTTGTTTTTGAAGTGAAACTGACAACTTTGTTTATATTAAAGTTGTCAATTTTTTGGGTTTGATTTATTTGAATGTCAAGACACAATGTATTCATTTTCTTTGTAATTAGTTTATTAATTGAATCTTTTTGGAGTGCTAAAACGTTAAATGAAATTTTGTGTTTAAGAGCATTTGCCAGTTCAACTGCCTCAAAAAATTCGCAAGTGCAAAAGATGCGAACTTTAAAAATTGAGTCCACAAAGTTTGTTGGTAATTGGGAAGTTGAAGGGTTTTTAAAAATAGATTTAATAGAGTCAAAGTCTGTTTTTGTATAAACATTTAAAGTTTCAATGTTGGGAAAGTATTTCAATGTGTTTAAAGTAAATGATATTGGATTGAAGTGAAACTTTTTCATGTTATTTAAATACTTTTTACTTACACATTCAACGTTTATAAAATCTGCAAGTGTGCTAAAATACTGTGATACTATCATTAAATGGTATCCATCAAGCTGTTTCATTTTTGATATTTATAATTTTGTGTGTTTAAAGTTCACAATTTTGAAGCTTGTCTTTTTATAATTTATAAAAAAAAATTAATAAATTAGCAAATTAACTAGAGTCATTCTCTAATGTTGTTTCTCAGTTATTAGATATTAATAACTGGAATATATCGGGATATTTTTTGTAACGCCAAAATACCATTGTTTCAGTTTTTTTTACTGTTTTTATGATTTATTACCTAATTCCCAATTTTTTAATATTTTTTTGTGTATTTTTTTTTGCAAAATGGACAACGTTTGAAGAAAGTTTATATTATATTATATTATATTATATTATATTATATTATATTATATTATATTATATTATATTATATTATATTATATTATATTATATTATATTATATTATATTATATTATATTATATTATATTATATTATATTATATTATATTATATTATATTATATTATATTATATTATATTATATTATATTATATTATATTATATTATATTATATTATATTATATTATATTATATTATATTATATTATATCGTATTTAAAATGTTACTTTTTTGAGTATTTTATATTGTTTAGTTAATAACTTAATCCGTTTTTTATAAAGTCGTTTGATAAAAACCCATTATTTTGTAGTTGTGTATTTACGAATACATCTTAAAAGTTGACACATTTCAAATAATCTTTTTGACATTCCAACTCATAAAAAAGGCTCCACATATATCAAACGTTGCATTTTAATCAAATAAAAAAAATAAGAGTCATTTATTAAATATTGCACACTGTATGAAAATAAGTCGTTTTATTTCAAAATTTGGGGATTGGAAAAAAGCAAAAATATAAATAAACAAATACTAATTTTTGGAATTAAAAAAAACTTAAAAAAAAATAAATAAGACTACAAAAAAGGAAAAATAGATGTACAGTTGACCAAATAATATTTTGAAACCAAATAATTGTAAGAAGTAAAATAAATAGTTTTAAAACCTTAATTAAGAACTATTTTATAAATAGAAATGGGTTTCTTAGCATTATTTGGTGAATCTTTTTTTTCTTTTTTCATTAGTCATTTCCAAGGTAATAAACGGGAAATACATCCTTCTTACAATTATTTTGTCTCTGATAATTATTTGCTCAACTGTATATAGTTTATATGCAAAAATTTTTTACTATAAATAAAAACAGTTATTGAGGCGAATACATTACACTTAACACGATTCGTTTGTTTCCAAGTTTCACATCCACCAAGACAAACACTAAAATAATGATAAAAATATAATTCAAATTTCGTTTTTTCTTTACTACGAACTTTTTACCATCAAAACTGGGATTTATTGAAAGGAAACATAATTACAATATTTGTATTTCCCAAACTAAAAATTCAAGTTTAAAGGAATAACCGAATGGGAATATTTAATGCAATAGAAGAGGGAGAATTTGATATTGTGTTTTCACACAACGTCAATCGAACAGCAACAAATGATGAAAAGGAGATTTATGAAAACTTCATGCAAAACACCATAAAGGACGTGGCAGTATTTGCATTGAAATTGAAATTCTGTCATAAAGGCAACATGTCGATGATTATTAACAATCTTTCATGTCTCACAAACGCGCTCATTCAAAAACCATTCGATTTTTTAACTTTTCATGATAATACAGACAAAGTGTTTGAAAGGGCGTGTCAAATCGAACAGCAAATTATACAAAATGTTCAACATGATAGTGCCGAATATAATTTATATCACAAATACACGATCAAATTTAAACTTGCCGTCTTGATAGCAAATTGGCAAACAGACCACAAACTCTTTCCTTTGTATACAATCGTACAAAATCTCGATACAGCTCCTTATAACGAATTCTGTGACGTTTCAAACGCTTTTGTCGATGTTTGTTCTTCTTCTTTTTCATTTGGACAAAGTTGAATTTTTATTGGTTTCGTAATTAGCACAAACATTTAAACTGGTTTACAAAATTGACAAGTGTTATATTTTATATTATACTGTATTATTATTTACTATATTAATATAGTATATACTATAAATAAAATACTATATTAATATAGTATACTATTTTATTTGAAATATTTTATGTCACAATTTTGTAATAAATAATTAACTATATAAAAATATATATTTAAAACGTATTATAATACAAATTTATCACATTAATTAAAATTTCATATGTTTATTTATGTTCAAACAAATGACTTGATGTGTTTTTAAGAGGCATGAAAAGAGATTTAAATGGTTATATATGTATTTACAACACTTTATATTTGTGACATTATTCCAGTTTATTTCTTGTTATATTAAAGTTATATATAAAATGAATAAAACAGCATATTATAACTATTACTGATATTAAATTTTTAGTAGTTATCATAAAATTATTAACATGATATTATAATACAAACGATAAATAACGACTCAGATCTTTGACACGACACGAGATATAGAGAAATACCCCCAAAGTTTACGACTGGTGTTGAATGAATATATATTGGAGCCGATATTAATCAATGCATATGAACGTCTTGAACTCAATTGTACATTATTAGAGAAAGAACAACATAATAGTGACCAACTGTGTCATGTGATCTGTTCGATACTGAAAAACATGAGCACGAAAGTGTATGACGAGACGAATGACAATGACTTTTATTGCTTTGATAAAAACGTGTTGAGACTGATTTTAAAGTCGTTAGATGTTGTTTGTCAACTCAATGACTTTGGTTTTGAGTACTTTCAGATAGTGACACGGATTCATACTTCGACTTGGTTTTCAGTATATACGAATTCTGTTCAACTTGTGGGTACGGGGATACCAGATGAGAGACCTGCGCAGTTTGGTGATTATTTCTATATGAATTTGGTGATACAATTTGATTCACTTTCGGCGTTCTATTTAGAGAGTGCGAAGCAGTTTGCGTATGGATTTGAGATTTTGAATAACTTAGTAGAGACGTCTGTGTACAAAATGAGTAAATCCAGTGCGATGTTTATTGCGAAGGACCATTTTGACAAATATTTTAATGAGTACATCAAACTTGCTGATGGGAGGATCATGCACAACATGCTTGTGGTCATCAATCACATTTTTGGACTTCCAATGAAGAATGAAGAGGCGTTCTATTTAGTCTTTGAGAAGATCATTATGAGTAAGAGTTGTGAGAGTTTGAGAGAGTGCGACAACGAGCAAATAGGGATTTTTTGTCGTAAAGAACTTGAAAAGGTCAATATGATGTGTACTGATATCATTTTTTGTCTACAAAATGACTATAACGGCCGTGATGTGCATGCGGTGCGACTTGTTGAGAATAAGACGAGAGAGGAGAAAGTGAAGATATTCTCGAACGTCTGCCGTGTGATTCGATATATTGTGGAAACCCAAAAGGGAGGAATGGATGAGAAACATGAGTTGGAAGTGTTTGACTTGTTTAGAAATGTCACACAGGTTTATATGCACTTGATTGAATCGAAACAATTGGTGGCGCAAAGTAATGTTTCAAAGGGAAGTTCAGTGGACAAAGAGTTGACACTGACGTATTTGGCACTATATAATATCGAGCCGTATCAAGGAGGCATCAATGTGTGTGAACCGTTCCAAACGCGATTTTATATTGATGAGAAGCAAGAGAGAAAGGGTGTGATATTATTCATTTGTCAGCTGTTTAATATAATAATAGAATATTGGGGGAAAGACTACGACGTTACTTATGCGTGTTTGAAGAATTTAGAGGGGTTTTATAATAACGAATATAATGGGGATATCTTCTATGAGATGAATATCTTAGATAAGTCATTTCAGTGGGCGAAAGAAGTGCAATACTGGACAAAGAAAGAGGCGTTTAGAGCGCGGAAAATCAGTTATAATACGATTTCGATTGTGATATGTAATCGATGGGTGGAAAGAGGAGTGACACTGTTTTGGAAATATTTTGATACGACGAGTCGTTTGGTGTTGGTGGACTTGTCGTGTCTTATGCGAGACGGGAATGTTGATTCTAAGTTGTTTCTGCAGCACTTTTTGAGTGTAAATAAAGAGAAGTATTTGAGTGCACCACAAAGTTCGATTTATCAAGACGAATGGAAGTTTGTGTTACAGTTGGTGGAAAGTGTGACGTCGTCGAGTGTCTTTTTAAAGAAGTTTTATGTCAAACGATTTAATTCACTGTATGACGAGGGCAAAGCGGAAGAGGCGAAGAGAAAGAAGGAGAAACGACAAAGAAAAGAACATAAAGAATGGCTGGAAAATGACACCATGGAACAACTTCATCTTCAAAAAGAAGTGAAATTAAAAGAAAAGGAAAATAATGAATATATTGAATATCCAGTGCTGACGTATGTTCCAGACCTTCTTCTGCAATTTTGTTGTCTTCTGAGTGAATTTGTCGATCAAATATATGACGAGGAAGATTGGGAGACTTTAAGTACTCAATATAATAAAAAGAGATTGAATCGATTAATTAAAGTCTACACCATTGCTACAAACATTCTTATGACGGAAAATTTTAATTTTACTGTCGACCGATTGTATGGAGATATGACGGTGAAGACAATGGTATTTAAATTAATGGAGTTGTATGACACTGTTAAAGATGCACTTGATGTCTCTCCGCTGTTTTTAAAAAGTGTTTCGATGTTTATGGAATGCATTTCAAAGTTAACTGCATCGTACGAAATGACGAATCACATGTTAGAATTGATTGCGGATTTTGCACAAGTGTTGTTGAAGACGTCTGACCACGAATTAATTCTTTGTGGAGTTAATGTAGTTTTTAATTTCATTGAAAATATGAATACATACAGGAACTCGACGGACTTTGAGTTGCAAATATATGAAAATATGTTAGATGACGACTTCACTGAAGTTCTACTTGTTTGTTACTATTGTTAATAGTTCTTATTATTATAATTAGTAGAATTATAATACAATTAATTAATAATAACATAGTGTAAGTATAAATTATAAATACTTTATACTATAATTAAATTATATTTATTATTACATTATTATATTAATATTATTCTATTTACAGAAATAGAATTATGTTATATAGTAAAATTAAATTATTAAAATTACAATACATAAAACTATAAATAGAGCGTAGAACGACTTATATATAGAAATACATGAACCAAGTCTGTGAAGATCAAATGTTCGAAGTTCTGTATTTGTTGTGTTGTACGTTTAAAACCCTTTTGAGGTCAGCTGTGAGGTCTATATCGTATAGTATTAAGAATATTGATGATAGAGATTTTTTTATTAAACTCTTTACAGAGCTTTACAATGATCCGGAAATGTGTAATAAATCAGAATTGGAAAAAAGATAATTTCTTCCACTGCGCAAAAAGCTAGAAACGTGTATTATGGT